ATAACAGCTGCTATTTCAGCCACTATTTTATACTTCAGCACATTGATTATATACTCATGACGAAAACATGTATTGACAGCGTAGACCATCGCTCGAATTGCCAAAGCATATATTTTATCATGACGCACATTAAATGTTAAACGACCCAGTTCTTCGAATAGCTCTGGAAGATCGAATAAATGATTCTCCAATAATAACTCTTCATCGCTACTCGCCGAAAAATAGTTAGCTGCCACTAGATAAACATTGTATGAGAAAAGAATATTCCAGCGAGTTGACGAAATTCGCTCAAATAATAGAGATCCACTGTAGACCTCACTAAAACACATTCACGCTTCAATTGATTTTCGGTGTAATCGATTCATTCTTCTTGTTCGTTACGAGGCCCTACTTCGAAAACTAATATATAAACATCACAATCTGCTTTGCGAATTTCACCCAAATAGTTGTCTTCTTCTACTTCGTTGTTAACAGTAGGTCTATTTCTATCTTGACCTTGAATATCAACTAATGTCACTTTCGTGTTTTTATTTTGATCTTCAGGATGAGTCAGCGGTTGTTGCCTATCGAATTGTAATGGAAAATAAATACTTTTAACAAGGGACACCAGTGACACTTCATCTTCATTGAGAGATGTTACACTGAGAAGACGATTTGAACAACGAGATCTTCAATCATTTTGAATAAATCGAGAATTTTTGGTTCAAACTCATCAGATGATCCTTGTTCACGCGTCGATTCATCCAATTTGGTAAAAGTCTTTGGAAACATTTGTCGATACTGTCCTTTTCAGATTTCAAATGTTAACTATTCACAAAAGACAAATATATTCTGAGTCGATAATTTCATCGTTGGCTACCAAAATCGCATCGCGGTAGTCAGTTTTGCATTTATTCAAGTTAATATTTAGATTTCTTTTCGTGTAGTCCAGAATATCTGAGAATTATTCCTATCCATATTATCAGCTTTGTCTCATTTTGTATTAGTTAATAGCTCGTGAAGATAATGTTCTTATACAGAAATTAAGTTTGCTAGATGCCGTTGTCAATTATCAATATCGGCAATAAAATCTGTACCATTACTACATACGGTTGACAATAAGTAACTTGTCCGCTTAATACCATATTTAATGAATGTTTCGTCCCATAGTTGCTGCACAAGCAATTCACTTTCCTTTGGTTCTTCATTTTTCTTGTATTTTTCTAAATAGTACATGCATCGATATGGTCGATCAGGACCGTTATAAATTCGAATGTGCTGTACACATTGCACACAAAATTGTTTTTAACATTTCGGATTAATACACCTGGATGGTGTTCGTTCCTTTTTTGTATGTTAAATGAACTTAGACACATAATGCAGCAGTCATACACCTGACAAGTAATGAAAATCTAAGTGATCGAAAACAGCTTCTAAAAACGAACCCTAGGAATCTAATGACAGCTTTTAATTTGTCATTATCAAATAAACTGTGTAAAATTTTCCATACCGACTGACTTTTTAAATTGGCGTTACTGCTACAAGACATGATCAACTCGCGTCTCTGTGGAAATTTCAACTAATCAGCGGTACAATTGAGACACCATACGTTGATTTGTATTAATATGTTTTATCACGCGACTGGTATTGCTTGTGTAGTATTATTTTATAAAAGAACACACAGATTTCTCTAGTTGTGCACTGTGTTTTTATATAGGACCGTGGGTTCACCACTGAGAGAAAAAATCAAGAAAGGTTAAATGTCACTTGCTTGAAAAAACGATGCTTACCTATATAAAACTTATTAGTCGACCTTTCAACACAATTTGAGAATAAAACAAGCATTTATTGGATTTTGTTTAACATGTAAGATGCTTATTTTACTTTTTATCTTATAAAATGTCTCATAGACCTCTGTGCAAAATATTAATATCTTGTTTTTAATCAGTTCCGTGTTGATCGATGTAAACATTCTCACTTCCTTTTTTTGTATGTATGTCGCTGTCTTCTTCACTTTTTTCCTTTCAACAATTGACAGAAACAATTGTATTTTTTATTCGGCACTAGTCTCCAAAATGAATTAAATTCATGAATCGATTCATCGCATATTTGATGTTCGAAAGTCAAATTTTTAGACAAAATAGCATCAGCTATTGAAGAGCCTTTGGCGTATAAGTGTGATGAATAGACAAATTCATTAGGCAGAAAGCTACGATGTGATGCTTCTTATAAATGAATTTTAATTATTACATCCTATTCAAAGACTAAGGACCAGAGGTCCAACCAGGCCACTAGGCCTGCCTGCCTGCCTGGGCCTGCCTGCCTGTGACAGGCACAGGCCACGTTTTTTAGGCCTGGCCTGTCACAGGCGGGCCAGGCCGACCCCTCAACCAGGCCAGGCAGGCCGCTTAAAAACACCAGGCCGCCTGGCCTGTCTATATCCTTTATATATATAATTTTCTTTTCGATAAAAACTTTTTTAACAAATTGAAAGTAGTGGTAGCAATTAGTGCAAGTATAGAATAATGTTCTGTCTTCATTATGATTGATCGAAATGATGACTAATGTTCATCTTCTTTATCTATTCATTCTTTATGTTCTCATTTATCTAAATTTTTTTATTCATTGTTGTTAAAATCTTTCTTATCGATTCTTGTTTAGATATTTATTACTGATTGTTAAAGTCTTTATTATTTTTGTTAAACTTAAGTGTTAGCATTTCAACTGTGTTTCTTAGAGAAATGACTGATATTGATCTTTCATCTTTCATCTCTCTTGATGATTGGGTATGATGGAAAAAGGCAGAAAGGAAAAATATCGAAAAGGAAAAATGTCGAAAACGAAAATGTGTGGTGAAGATGAACATGTGAGATTGAGACTGAGGGTGAGGGAGATTTGTATTTCCATACACTCTCATTTTCAACATTTCTATCTACCGACATTTGTATTATTTTCGTTTTCGACATTTTTATTTTCAACACTTTTCCTTTTTGATATTTTTCCGTTCTGCCTTTTTCCATCCACTCGATGATTCTCCATCTCGTTCACAAGTGAAACAAACTTCATGTTTCTATTCTATCATCGTAGTGGTCAGGGAAGAAGGGAGGACCCGTCTCCCCGAATATTCGAAAAATTGTCTTGCATTCTATTTCACAAAATGAAACTTATGCTACCTTTCGCACGATTTTATAAGTTACCCTCAGTGTTGCCAGGTGTCAAACTCGAATATCCAGAATTCAAATCTCAATATCCTGTAAAACTGTGAAAAACGCAGAAAAATCTTTAAAAATACCTAAAAACACTACCAAAAATCTCGAAAAACCTAAAAGAAATTTTAAAAAAATCTGGATAAATCCCGAAATCCAAAAAATTTCGAAAACATTCTAAAAAAGTCTCAAAAAAGCGCTGAAAAAATTCATAAAAATCCTGAAAACCCAGAAAAAATCCTGAAAACCCAGAAAAAATCCAGGAAAAATCTAGATTAAGTTTCACAATCCTGAAGACCTGGCAACACTAGTTACTCCTCCGCAATATTTTTGGACAGTAGGATACTATAGGTTACTCCGTCCGCCAATTTTTGGTTGCTCGCGATACCCCTGGTAATGTTATTAGAATAAAATAAAAATTGACAGGCCTTTCCAGGCAGGCCGAAGAAAATGTCAGGCAGGCAGGCCAGGCCGAACAAATAAGTTGGCAGGCACAGGCAGGCTTAAGATGCAAAGGCCTGTCACAGGCCGGCCAGACCTGCAAAAATGCAGCCTGGTTGGACCTCTGATATCTATCTATTAAGTGAATTTTGGCATCTGAATATTGTCTTTAAACTGTAAAAAAAATAAAGAAGAAACCAAACTTATGTAACTGTAATAGAAAAACCTGGACGTAGTTGGGCTTTTTTTCAAAAGGACTTTTTGATGAAAAAAGTGCGTAGTTGTCCCCATCTTTCTGGCATGGTTATTCCAATCTACTTAAAATGTTTTTCACACATGCTAGACATAGTTTGTGCTGAGCATTTTTTTTTTTGAATTTCAAAAATTATGGTTCTGCTTATTGTCTTTGAATCTTATAGAAGGAGTGCTGTTCAAAAAATGAAGCATTTTTTAATAGTATTTTAGACATTTTCACTTTTTTTATTCCCAGAATAAAACATGAAGGCCAACAAAAACTTCTTAATCTAAGCAATGTCTAGTAACTGTTGAAAAAAGTTTCAGTTCGATCAAATGTAGTATTCAGAAAAACAAGAGCGAAAACTGAAGCTATTTTTCGCAATTGTGAAGTTCATATCTCGCAGAAGATAATACTCAGTAACTTTAAATCTATGACATCTTTTACGCTACTTATCAATTTTGGTCTTTTATCGGACGAATATTAATAATGTCCCTGTCAAATAATATTTTAAAAAATCAAGCTCTACATTAAACACGTTTGTATACAAAGATTTTTTTATCGTCTGATACAAATGAGTAACTATGATTTCACTTAAATATGAAAGCTAGATTTCATGTATGGATTTCTCTTTTGGTGTATACAATAAGAAAATAAATGTAAGCAAAATGTGTTTACTGACTGCTTCTTTCATATTAAAATGTGATATATTTTTCTGCTTTCTTTCTGTCTTTAAGTTAGGTTTTTTTTCTGTCTTCTGGAGATGTAAACAACTCTGTGTTGCAAATAGAGGTATACGAAAAAGATTTTTTTCTATGCAATGTTAGAGTATATAAACGTACCTTGTTAGAATTTTTGGTACCAGCACATAATTTGCAAAGATAACCACCAGTATTAAGTTTCGTAAAATATTGATTCAATAGTTCATTTTTTTAAATAATTCGTCCATTTCGGTTGTGGTTTTCAGCTGAAGCAGGAGAATTATCATCATCAGGCTGTTGAGATGTTTCCATATCTTCTGTGGCTGTTGATGCAGATGAAATATTTACCAGATCAATATGTTGGTCTATATTATCATCTTCACCTTCATTGTTGCTTCCCATTACATGTTGGCCTGAAATACTTGTTGATCTTTGCGATGTTGTTATTTTTGATTGTATTTGTGAATTTCTTGAACGATGAGAACTTGGAGCAGATCGTCGTCGAGATATACCGCCATTTTTAATACCTGGAGTAGAAACATCCTTTGGACTCTTTCTTGATTGACGAGTATTAAAAGTTTCATCAACTCGTACAATCTTTGCAGTTGATGATGCAGACTTTTTTGAACTTCTTGATGATCGAGATGACAAAGATGCCATTAAGATAGAATAAATAAATGCTTGCGATATGAGAATTGTAAATTTATTTGAAACTTTCAAATAACGAATTGAGCAGATTGTGACGAAAACGATATAACAGATTCTTTTTTTATTATTTTTTTCTTTGGCTGACTAGGCAGAATATAGAGACGATTCTATAGTCTAGCGAGCTTTTTATCACACTGGACGTAAACAGTATCATCTCCTTATTTTTTTCCTCGTGTACCACAAACTAGTTGGAACATAGATTATTCAAAAATAGGAAAAAAAAAAGAAACTAATTAATTCTCATTAACATAGCCAGCGAGTACATTCTTCTCTAACGTGATGAATCTTGCAGCCGACGTGAGAATTTAATTCAGACGGAATCCACGAAAAAATTTCGCTAAGAATAATTCTTTATAAATAAACAAACCTAATTGATTTAAACACAACTTTCCAAAAAAAAAATAATATTAAGACTAATATATTTCTTACGTTAACTATCATAGAAAAATATGACAATTTATTTTAATTTAAGTTCGATAAATTACGAAAAGAAAAAAATTTATATTTATAATAAATATAAATTACTTGTCATTTAATTTACGCGTAAATTAAATGAAACGTAAATGTAAATCGACACCCCTAGAAAGAATAAGTTTTCCGAGACCTTGTGGTAATGTATATGAAAGTGTTGAGGACAATAATAAACCCTTTTATATACCCACTAGAAGGGTTTATGTACGGGCTTATTGATTTCCTAAACCCTTTCATATACCCTTTTAAAGGGTTTAAGAAAATTTTACATACGGTAAAAAGGGTTTATTATACGTTGCACTTTCATCAACCCTTTTTGGGTTTATTATTCTACGAATTTTTTTTATAGTGTGTGATCGATCGAAAATTAAAACCCCATCTTCCAATCAGAGAAGCGATACTTCGAGGTTTTATCAAACTTGAACAAAGGTTTTCTGGGGTGGAGAACTTGAATCTGAGCTCCACTTGCCTCGAAATCCTATTGGTTGAACAGTAACCAATAGAAATCAAGTTTTAGGAAAAACGACTTTCTTCGGGTATTTCAAGGCCAAGAGCTCAAATCTGAGCTATATTTGTCCCAAAATCCTATTGGTTGAACAGTAACCAATAGAAACCAAGTTTTAGGAAAAACGACTTTTTTAGAGTATTACAAGGCGAAGAGTTCAAGTCTGAGCTACATTTGCCCCAAAATCCTATTGGGTGAGCAGTAACCAATAGAAATCAAGTTTTAAGAAAAATGGCTTGCTAGGATGATTTTGATGTCTACACATGCTATGATGACTCACCTGTTTACTTTTTGAAGTACACATAACACTCGGATTTAAATCCGAGGTTTCCACATTTTTTTATTCTAATCTTTGATATTTGCCATTGTAAAGTTGGTTGTGCAATAATACTTCAATCAAGTGGTTTAGTTAAAGTATCTTCATGAAATTTCAAACTAGGTTTTTTGTCCATGACCTATTATTGTCACCATTGACTGGTAATAACTAAAGTTTATAACTAAGAATTTAATTTACGAATAAATAATAAAAATTTTCAATCTCAGGTGCTACATAAATAGCTTGAGCAGATAAATGAGCAAATGCTGGATCAAGTGGACTTAATTCATTTATGTATCGTTCTTCGTTAGTACCATAATCAAGATAAACAAGTTCAACAGTTGTTTTGTATTAGAAAAAACAGAAATTTCAAATAATAGATTTTTTTTTGTAATAAATTCCCAGAACTATATCGTTTTATGCCAGCACGATACCATCGATTATTAACTGAATAACTAGCTGCACAAGAGATCATTTCCATTGGTTTAAATAGTATTAATGGTGGATCAGTTGTTGAATAATAATCACTAGAAGAAAAAAAACCTAATGATTTTATTTCGTGAAAAAAGAATCTAAATATATACTTCATAACTTGAGCAAGTTTTTCAAAATCATGTGTATATAATGTATTTTGAACAAAGGAATATCATGGATTGACAGCTATTCAAACAAATGCTTGGAAATCTTCATCAACATTTAATAATGATGTTGAACATATCGCAAGGGGGAAACGGCGGATTTTGGATTTTCGGATTTTTGGATTTTCTTTGGGTTTTTTTGGATTTCTTTTGGATTTTTCGGATTTTGAAAATCCCAAAATCCACCAGCAATGTCCTCTTGAAAATGAAAGAATTTCGAGCTGAAATTTTTATCATATGTAGATCTTGTGGTTCTTAGAATATTCTAAAAGTTTCAGCGCAAACGGATGTTTTCTCCTGAAGATAATGCGATCGCAAGAAATACTCATATTTCGCAGCACGGTCAGAAAATCCACTTTTCTTGAAAGTTGATTATCTTAAGAAGGAAATATTCATTTACATTGAAACTTTTAGGATATTTTAAGGACCACGAGGCCTACATATGATAAAAATTTCAGCTCGAAATACCTTCATTTACAAGAGGACATTGCTGGTGGATTTTGGGATTTTTCATGGATTGGCAATCCAAAAAATCCGCCGTTTCCCCCTTGACATATCGATAGTTGGTAAAGCTCAAATTAAAATTAATAGAAAAAAAATCATTTCAATCCTCTCTACAAGCATGATTAGAGTTCCATCCGCCTCTTCTACAACTTTTTTCTCTTTACCTCTCTAGTTTTACATATGCTAGATTAGCGCTTTTTTTCAACTCTACTTGTTCCATCTATGATAAATATCGATTTCTCGAATATATTCTTGTCTATGCAGGCGAAAGTCATCATGTAGTTTCAGATAGCATCGATGGTTCTAAAGCGGGAACTTCTAGATCGATCATAAACAGTAGAAATTCTAAGCAAAGCTAATGGATACATCTAGAATCTATGAAAACCTTCTATATAGGTTAACACGCCGAAAAATGTTTTTTGTGTGTGTCAATATATAGTGCATTTACGATAATATCTATCTAGAAGGTTCTATGGCTATAAATATTCTTTACAAATGATTAAATATACAATGCATGGATACTGACGCGATTAGCCTTATCATATAACACTTAGGAGTATATAACTATGATATGAATTAAGCCGAGTAGGTCGTTCCTTCTAGTATGCAACGGTTTCTAGAACTTTGGATGAGACGGAATAAATAAAATAATTAAATTTTATTAAATTAAAATTATCAAATTTTGACTCCAGAAGCTGTTGTAAATTTGATATTTTTCTGGTTTATCTTTTCGAAGTGAGCTCTGATCAGCCATACGACTAAGACCAATAACCGGATCTGAAGAAGCAGTCTATAGATAAGTATAATAATTCAATTGTTTTGCTAAAAATTCACATACATAACGACCGCGAATACATCAACGAATATGATCAAATCTACTTGATTTGATAGGTGAATCAAGTTCAGGATGATCTTCACATAACCATAGATGATCTAGTGCATCATGTACAGACATTCGAGAACTTTAAAAATAAATATCAATAAAATATTTAAAAAAAGAAACAAATTTACTTTCGATTTTTTAATAAAAGTTTTTGAATAAAATCTTTTCCATGATGAGATATATCACTAAATATTTCTTATGAAAAATGTACATCACATTTACATATATTTTCTATTGTTTCATTATCATCTTGACCAGCAAAAGGTGATAAACCGCTTAAACTAAAATTTTAATCGTAAAATAAACAAAAAAATATGTGTTTTTTTCAACGTTTCATAACATAGACAAGAACATCTGCTGCTCACATATCTCTATAAAATCCAACAGCATTATGATCAATAATTTCAGGTTAGGCAAATTCAACAGTTGTTCTACTAATTTTAACAACTTCATTTGGATAAAGTTTTGTAACTAAACTAAAATGACATATTTTTATATTTGTACTGGTTTTTTGTTTGACACATAAGACTTTCCGGCTAAAGAAATACATTTAATTCTTTGATTTAATTGATCTTACTTTTAAATACAAATGAAGAATATTATTTTCATGCATATGCTGAAGCCCGACCTTGACATATTTTTCTGATATATTTAATTGGTTCAGCTTCAGTCATTTTATAATTTGGATCAGTAATACGATCGAATAATTCTCCTCCAGCAACAAATTCTGTGATCATTGCCATTTCAACTTCATTTTCAAATACATCATCTAAATGAAGTCATTTTGGATAATTTAAATCCATCATTACTTCCATTTCATCTTGAACAGTCGCTTTATCAGTGTGTGTTTATGTTGGAGTGAATTTTGCAGTATAAGTTTTGTCAATAGCTTTTTCAATACAACGATGAACAACACCAAAAGCATAAATTAAAAAAAGAAACAAATATTAGGAACAAAGAAAATATTTAAGGCATTTTTTACCGTTCGACTTCTTCGAGAATATCGTATTTATCATAGATGCTTCCATGTTTTAATGTAGCTTTTTCATGGCTGACGCCCTTTCTCCCAAATATTCCAGACCAGAGGTGGGCAACTTACAGATTTTTCAAGTCACAAGTCAAGTCAAGTCACTAAAAGAATATTTCAAGTCAAGTCAAGTCAAGTCAAACCCAATATTTTTTTTTACCAAGTCAAACCAGAGGTGGGCAACTTACAGATTTTTCAAGTNCTCAAGCCAAATTAAGCCCCTCCAATTAAGAATTATTCTTTCATACGACTCAGTCAACTCGAATACTATTTGTGTTTTCAAAAAATATGATGCGGCTGTAAAAGCACAACTTCGGCACGCAGTACACAAACAATACAATTGTTGTACTTTTATAATATAAATGTACAATTTTTACATAACTATTCATAGAAAATATAATCTTTAACTCATTTATTATAAAATATACAAGTTTTACATAAATATCATAAAAAATACCATTTCTTACTCATGCATTATAAATATACAATTTTATATAAATATTATAAATTATACAACTTTTACATAAATATCATAAAAAAATACAATTTTTCATTCATATATTATAAATATACAAGTTTTACATAACTATCATAAAATATACAATTTTCCACTTATTATAAAAATATACAAGTTTTACAAAATTATCGAAGATGCTTATTACATTTTAACATTGTTAACATCTTTAAGGTTGTTTTTGCCATCGAAGCTCTGTGTTGACGCATGAGAAATCCACTCTGGAAAAAAACGCGCTCCACAGGCGCCGATGTTGCTGGAACAGAAAGAACTTTCTTTGCTACTTGGTTCAACGTCTTATAAACAGATGATTTTCGAAAAACTAGCATTTTATCATTTTCGATATCTTCCAAATATAATGATATCTCGTCTCGAATGTATTGAAATGGATCAATATGTTTTTTTCTTTTAATATTATTTTCAAGATGAGAAAACAAACTTTTTCTTTTTGGATTGACGGTGGATGTATCTTCTATGATTTCTTCTTCTATTGCAGCAG